AGAGACATTTACCACCAGGCTGAAAAGCCTTGTTTCAATGTCCTTTCTCAAGTCTGTTTCTGTTGGACGTGGGGTAAATGGTGCTCCGTTGCACCTGTAACCACCAACAGTGACGTCACGGGGTCCTTCAGTACACCTGTACATCACTGCAGCAATGTAAAGGGTTAAACCACTGGTGGTCAGCAAAGATTTTCAGGAACGTTATTTACTCTTCAACAGCTGCTCAGTTAACCATAACGTGTGCTATCTCATCATTGTGTTATTGTAGCTTTCTTTCTTGGTGAATGATGTATTGCAGTCATGAAATTTATACACTCAACACCGACATCTCTTCGTGTCCTGTTTCCTTGAAGGTCCTGGAATGCGTTCCACGTTTGTGCCAACTCAGCTCTTACTGGCTGTCCTGGAGAAGCAGCAGCTGTCTGGGAGTCTCTAAGACAAGAGTCCAGGAAGACGCAATTTTCTGGAAACCTCTATGACATGTGTGCCAGCCAAACCACCCTCCCACCCAGCACTATGCCTGCACCCCAGAGCCCTCCTACCTCCGACCAGACCAACCAGGAAACGCTGAAAGGGCAAACATGCAAACACAGCCCCACCCTAACCACACTGTTTGTCCCTGTATGCAGCACTCTACTACTTCTGCTCAGGAGTTAGTTAACCCATCTAAGTCTTTTAATCAGAGCAATGACAGCTGGTCATCAGAGCCCTGCTCCCCTTATGATCCAAACACATGAGGGTAGCCACACTTCACAAGCTCATTATGACTACATGATTCCTAAAATAAGGATTTCAATAACAAAATGAAAAATTTGATTCAGAGTTTCTCACATGAACAAGCTGGTGTATCTATGTAGGCATTATATCAATGACATGCCTTTCACAAAGAAAGAAGGTGCTTTCATTCTGACTAATATTCTGACAAATATAGATCAAGCATACTGGTAGCTGATGTCACTCAAGATAAGTGATTTGTGATTAAATTCACATCATGTAATACTGCTGGGTCATACTTATATAGTCTGGAGTGACAAACAGTTAATGTAGGGAGAGATGAAAAGACCCTCCACTTAGCTGAAAGACAGAATCTCAGTTATAAGCTAATATTTGTTGTAAACGCTTTATTTTGTATCACTACTGCAGTACACCAGTGACACCACATAATTTTTAGTACAAAAAAGTCTTTAAAGGACGTTTTAATGCCAGGTGTTCAGATCTGCCTGTTATCCAATCAGGCGTGAGCCAGAGGAGAGCACTATTACAGGGTGCAAAACAGTATTTTTATGCAGTAAGTTTAATTCATCACCCTGTTCGATTAGTTTAACGTCAGAAAATTAGATTTCTGTTTTCAGCGTGTGCATGATGCTGCTAAATGCCATCACGTGTCATGTCATGTGACCCTGTTTAGTGGTTTTCCGGTCCTTTTTTAAATTCTATTATGAACTTACAGAAATGTTTCACTTCAATTACTTTAATTTAACATTATGCATCCCCTGTGGGGCATTTAAAAAGGACACACAGCACAGCACACATATCTCATAAAAACACAAAGTAAAGTACAAAATTATCCGCATAATTAAGTACTAAAAAGTAGAGTGCAAAGTGGAAAGTTTCCCAGGTTGCTGTAATGTTGTTTAATGTTTAATGTTGTATAACTTTTCGTTGAAACTGAGCGAGCTCTGTTATACAACCACACACTGCATGTTATTCACTGGTTTTCATGTTACCGATGTATTTACTGTATTATTTTCTGATTTCGTTTTTGGTTATTTGCATTATTCAGTTCTTTCACTGCAGTATAGAGTGGTACATGCCTCTTTGTTTCGCTCTGATTTTTAACCTTCATATCCCAACAAGAACTGAAATTAAAGGAATGCTGACATACACAATGCAGTTATTCTCCTTAAATTGTTACTTTTCCTAAAGCCACGGGATTTTGTGATGTGTGTGTGTGTGATCTTAATACTCTTAAACTGTTTCATAACAGCAGAATCATGAGTAGATTAATCTCATCTGTCTTTATTCATCCACAGTGTAGCAGGTTGCACCTCGAAACCCTTGAACAGTCTTGGTGCCCTCAGGTGGAGGGTAAATACTGTAATGAAGTAAATGGTGATTGGCTGTGCACTGTGATGTGACGTGATGTGACGTGATGTGAGCAGGAGTGACAGATAAAGGTCAGAGGTGATAACTTCGCAGCCGCAGCACCCTGAATTTAAGAAGTGAATGCAGCGGTTACTAGGACCCTCAGGTGGACATCCTGCTTTACATTCTGCTTCTACTTAAAGATTCTTGTGTCGATTAAATGTTAGGTCACCACCATGCAGCCTCTGTGACCCAAAGTTCACAGACTTAATAGCTGATTTGAATAGTGCTGTTTCGTACACTTCCCGGCTTCAGGCTTCTACATCCAATTCTTTTGCTTTGTCTACTTTTTGCTAAATAGACTACATGTTTAAAAGGCAGATTATAACCCTGGTTTGGCCACGATGACTGATTTTTCAATACTGCGGACAGTCTGCACAAAACATGGCAGGTCACCACCGACGGAGAGGGAATTCAGATCTGTTGCCATGTGACTGAGCTTCATTAAGAGCTTTTATGATTATATTGACAAGGATAGATTTTTAAACATGAAATATGAGCACATTTGAAGTTTTTACTGTAGTTTGAGAGGGAATCTAAAAGGCGGTGTGTCTGTGTATGACTGTAAACGTCCCTCACCTTTTACAGTTGTTTTGCCTTTTCTAAAAATAATAAGATAATTAAAGACACTGTAACTAATGAAGATATATTCTCTAAATCGTTGTATTTTAGTCAGACTATTGGGCTAAATAATTATTTAATAAATTAAAGGAAATTATTAATATTGTTGTTTTTCTACATTATGTTTTTGTTCCGCCAACAAAGCTACTTGTAGATTTAATTAAAAAACTGCCCTGTGTTGCTCTTGATTCACTTCCTGTCCAGTCTTATGTTCTTTAAATCTTCCTTTTGACCATCCATTGCTTCAACATCCTTTTGTAATAACATTTAATGATTATCATCATCCTGTTCTTACTCTGCAGGAGAAATTGATCCGTCCTTTTTCTTTACTTCTTTAAATGAACTCCTGACATATTTCTGAAAACAGCACAGCATGCCTGGAGGATAACCTAAGTCTTTGAACTCTGTCCCCAGAACACCTTGGCGTGCCTGCTCACTCTAATCTCTCTTTGTCCTGCATTACACTTGAAAAAATCTGTAACATCACCATGAAATCATTTTAAGGTGCCCCTCACATTCTGAGCCTAGACGTTGAAATGTTTAAGATAAAGACAAAGAAAGATTCATCCTGCCAGCTGAAAGACAGTGAGATGTAAAACAACATTCACAGGATTTTGACCAATGCTGTCTGCTCTATAGCAGATGGTGTGTAGCATAAAACATGGCTGGGATTATGAAGTCCATGTGTATTAGTTTTTTCTGTTAGCTGTTCTGCACAGTACATTATTCTTTAAATACATGAAATAAAAAATGAAATAACAAATAAATATGAAAAGTAAAAATTGGTGTTATCCAATCCCTCTGGTGACTATAGCTGTTCATCTGCCAGCTGTCAGTCTACTAATTCTCCATTAAAGGTGTTTTGCGGTTTCTGCGGTTGTTATAAACTATATTGATGTTTATGTCATTTTAGGCTATATTAATAACATTATCTTAACTAACCACAGAAGGCAATGCTAGCTGTTGAAGTTTTGATACTCACAAACATTGTTGAGGCTTAGTATTACACAGATGATCCTTGTGTCAACACATGATCTGTGAAGTGAAAAATGACTGATGACCTGTGTCATATCTTTAATATGCTCAGGAGTATAGCGACCAGTTTAAACGTCACACAGCAATTCTGCATTCACATACATGTAGGAAAGTTATAAGAAATAGAAGACATACTGTAAAGGTAGTGTGCATTATATCACTGACAACACACCGGAAATAAATTAAATGTCAATGTAGAGCCTAGTATGGTTTATGGTTTATGGTTAGTGATAATTTAATTGAAGATCTATTTGGAAAATTGACAACAAATCACAACATTTAAACTGACATGATTAATGCCATAAGCTGATTTATTTTCTTATCTTTCTTTTCAAAGACAAGATTTTTGTCTCATTTTTGCATTTATTTCATAGTTGAAAGTAGAGACAGACAGGAAACATTGGGAGAAGGAGGAGACATGCAATAGTCTGAACAAAACTGAGGACTCAGTTGCAAATCTAATCTAAATCTTCATTGATTGCTTATTTAGGGGAGGTCCACTTCTGTGTACATTAAAAAGTATCTTGTTAAAAAGGCATAAAAGTGCAGGGATTAGCACTGTCACCTCACAGCAAGAAGGTCGCGGGTTCAAACCCCGGTTGGCCCGGCCTTTCTGTGTGGAGTTTGTATTCTCCCCGTGTCTGCGTGGGTTCCCACCGTCCAAAGACATGGACTAGGTGACCCTAAAATTGTCCTTAGGTGTGAGTGGTTGTTTGTCTATGTGTGTGGCCCTGCTATGGATTGGCTACCTGTCCAGGTTGTACCCCTCCTTTCGCCCGATGTCAGCTGGGATTGGCTCCAGCTCCATTGTTGGGCTTTTTCTACAATTTAAAGTTGGGTATATGTGTCTTATTTGAGAATAACTTGACATATTATTATATAATCTAACTTCTTCAAATAGGCAACACAAATACGAACTCTTAAATTATTTTATAATGCCCAGTAATAGCCTACATACCTGATAAAATACTCAATAGTATCTTAATTAAGTATTTTAAATAAGCTATATTTACTAGAAATACTGCCCATCTCTTGTTTGTGTTCCATCTTAGGGCTTGAGCAGAACTAGGCTTTACTAGGCCTACTAACTGAGAGGGACAAACATAAAGAGAGAAAGAGAGAGAGAGAGAACACACACAGAAGAAAACATACTCACTTTAGTGACACATTTGTCACCTCAGAGTGAAATGTTTAATAATCAAAATGTGCAATTAGACCACATGAGTCGTGAGTGCGCGTGGGCTATATATGTGCATTGTGTAGGCCTAGGCCACCATTCACCGGGTTTACTCAGAAGAATGAAGCAAGTTACGTCTGGGCTACTTTGGCAAAATTAGTTATATTTGAACATCTTTCCAGAGACGTCTCCGTTAAAAGCCTCTCATCCCAGTGCTGTGGGTCTCGGAGCTGGTTCGGGATCATGGAGGAACTGGCCCGGGAGAGCATCAGCCTGCTGGCCCGGTCTGCGTCTCATGCGGACCCGCCGAGGCTCGGCTCGTTCGGCGCGGTGTTCATTATGCTGAAATCTGCGCTCGGGGCCGGACTGCTGAACTTCCCCTGGGCCTTCCAGAAGGCGGGGGGAGTGAACACCGCCATCAGTGTGGAGCTGGTGAGGAAAAGATCAGACACCTGCTCAGCGTCGCTTCCGAACTGCTGTTGTTGGTGCATTGTTTAGAAAAAAATATAGTTGTGCACATAAAGACCCTGCATCAGTCTATTCTGACTGCTTTGATGGAATAATCAGGAACTTTATCTTTACCTGTATCTTTAAATTTCCAGAGGCTTTTTTTTTTGTGTGTGTGTGTGTGTGTGTGTGTGTGTGTGTGTGTGTGTGTGTGTGCAGGGGGGGTGTGGGGTAGGGGGTCAGCTTTGGCTTTTAGCCTGTAGACTGAATATGTATAGACTCACCACCCCTCTATCACTCCCTGGTGTGAAAGAGGCACATCTCTTTCACAGGTGAGCTCTAATGAAGCTTCCAGTTTAGGTGAGGACCTGAACTTTTATTGCACTGCATCTTCAGACTGCCACCGAAAAAAATGTGTGTGTGTCTGTGTCTCATGGATGGATTTCCAGGCTTTCAAAGAATAGGCCCAGGGGCCCAAGAGGTCAGTGGGCTCCTAAGAAATGATGGCTTGCTTTGTGTACCACAGTATCTTAGTCCCATTTTTTTTGCTCTTGATCCCAATCTTTAGTTCCAAGTCTAATTTATTTTTTGTTTAGTCTCCCTATAATACAGCTACACAATTCATACATGTTGTCAGTCTACATAGAAGAAAATATAAGTTGCAACACAGGTTTCCTTTGTTGATCTGCTTTGGCAGGAAGCTTTAGAACGAAGCAGAAACAGCTAGTTGATTAATCATTTAGTTGATTGTTCTGCCATGTTCAAGCCTTTCCTGGTTCCAGCTGTACAGATGTTAATATGTGCCTGTCTGCTTGGACTTCTTTGTAATCAAACTTAATGTCTTTGGGTTTTGGACTGCTGGTTGGACAAAACAAGTGATTTGAACATGGCAATTTGAGCTTTGGAATATTGTGATTTCTTAGAAACTATCTGACAAATTAGGACAAATGTCTTAAATGATTAATCTAGAAAATAATCCTCAGATTAGATTATGGAAAAAATGGTTAGTTGTTGCCCTTTTCATCTCCAGTGTGAACCAAGTCCTGACATTAGGTGCGGTTTTCAACCAGTATCAGATTAATAGAGTCATGGTTGACTGCAAGTTATACGTTTCTGGTCATGGGGAGTGAGCGGATGGGGGTGCCTGTACCTGGGGGCCCATTGTCTAACCATCCGTCCACAGTGTGGAAATTAAGTTAAGTTCCTCACTTGGCGTCCCTGCAGGTTTCGCTGGTTTTCCTCATCAGTGGTTTGATCATCCTCGGCTACGCCTCATCAGTCAGCAGACAGATGACCTATCAGGACGTGGTGAGCGAGGTGTGCGGACGAGCTGTGGGTCAACTCTGTGAAGTCTGTTTCTGCTTCAACCTCTTCATGATATGTGTCGCCTTCCTGGTGGTGGTGCAGGACCAGCTGGAGAAATGTAAGCACTTAACAATGTTATTGTCATGATGTAGGTGCTCCCTGACAGCGGATCACTTTGGCTGTAGTTTATAGGCTCCCACCAACCCATTTCTCTCTCTTTCGTGAAGAAAGTATTAGTATCAGTGTAAAGATCAAACTCTTCTTGTGTGACTAACGCATATTATTTGACAGATAATCACATAGCTGTAATTGACTATTATCAACAACAGTGTTAGTAACAGCTATGTGACCAGGGGTTAAGATGCCGGTTCAGATTCCACTGTGTTGCATTTCTCTCTCTCAAAACATAGTGGATAAAAGCAGAATAAAGTTATTTATCAGTGTGAAGCAGAACTGTTTTGTATTTTATCTCAGTTTTATCATATTCCATCATATAGTTCCACAGCAACTGTAAATTAAATTAAATTTACAAAAGTCTTAATCAGTTTCTCTTGCCTGCCCGGTTTGTTTCAGCATTGGATTGTGAAGTTTCAATCAGCACCATCCTAAACACTCTCACTTCTGTTATCTACAGGTGGAAGCTCACTAACTCATAATGTGCAAGTGTTAATTATTTTTAATTGGGTAATTTATCCATCCATTTTATGCTGTGCCAGGTCGCATTCATTTGATTAATTATATCATTAGGAGTTTATTGTGTTGGATGTGATATAACAATAAATATTTCTGGTGCCATATTATTCATTCTGGATTTCCATCATATTTTTACACTTTGGATGGTATGAATGTGAAACAGGTATTAAATTTGACTTTAAGTGGTTAAAACGTCGTTACATTTAAATCGGTGAACCCTGCAGAAAAGGTTTGTTTAAAAGTTTGTTGTATACATTGTTAAGACAGGTGCATTTTGTCCAAACATTACATCTCTAACCAGTTCATTGCAGACTTTCGATTCAAGCTTCGCAGAACCATTTTCCCTAAAAGTTTATGCAATGGCCAGCAAACAGCCTTTATGGCATGATCAACTGTCGTAAAATAATAATTTTCACTAAAGCAAAAATCGCTATTGAGTGAATAATCTAAATGATGAACTTGCATGTTAGCAGAACAATGACATAAATTATTTATGACATAATAATATGTTAGACACATGTTATATTACACACACCTCTGGAGCAACTAGGGGTTAAGTGTCTTGCTCACAGTGGATTCAAACCCAGGTCTATCTCACTAAAGCCATGTGTCTTATCCACTGCACCATCACCACCCCTGAGAGTATGAGTCCTGAGCTCTACCAACTGAGCTAACCAATGACATGATAGTGTACCAGGCTCCTGTCGCCATCCTTATTGTGACATTCAAAACCAGCTTTTAATCATCGTAAAGCACTTCTCTGTTTGCACTCAGCATAGGTTTCTGCAATGTTGTCATATCATCAAGGTACTCACTCAGTTTGTGATCAATTTAGGAGCCATTTCCCATATCAAAAAAAATAATCTCTTTCAGATGACAAGTCATCTGCACTTTAATTTTCATTCTAGCTAGTATCAGGATAAACATGTGACTTGCTGCAGTAATGCTTTTATCTAATTTTTTTCATTTGTCGTTTTGTCCATCTGAAACCCTTCAAATCCCTTTAATGTTTTTGCTCTGTTCCAATATTAAACAGTGCATTTGATCGGATTTACACCCCCCACCCCCCATTTGATCAGAAATTCTGCACAGAGCATCGTATTCAACATTCACATGTTGAATGTTCGGTTTTCATTATTCTTTATGTTCATCCACAAACATCGAAGCATGTATGATGCAGCCATTAAAAATCATAAACCACGTTGTTTAGCAAGACACAACATCTAAATGAATCTTTTGTAAATCTAGATGGCTCTACATGATTTGGGGAGTCTTGTCCTGTATGTTGATGCCTTCACGTTGCAGCAGATAAATAAAGCTGATTTTGACCTTTTCTTCTCCAGTGTGTATTTCGTTATATGATAGGGTGACTGGGTCCACTGAGGGAGAGATGCCTTATCACTGGTACACTGACCAGCGTTTTGCCCTCTTCATCATGTGCCTCATCATCATCCTACCCCTGTCCATCCCAAAAGAAATCGGCATTCAGAAATACACAAGGTATGCAACACTCATCTGTAGTCAGATTGACATCCAGCTTTTATGTGATTTAACTGTTTTCTCCTCGTATCAGTGTGTTGGGGACACTGGCCGCTACATATCTGTGTGTGGCAGTTATCGTCAAATATTACCTGATGGAGAGCCACGCTGTTATCATATCTCCAGAGCACAGCCAAGGGTCAGTAACACTGTTTTTAATGGATACATGTGTGTATTTATATTTTGCCTCTCATTGTGTACAGCTGCTGTAATGCTTGCATCAGTAAATGTCTGTGTGTTTTATAGCATCAGTTCTTGGGCTTCAATGTTCAGTGTCGTACCGACCATCTGCTTTGGATTCCAGGTAGGATCAACTTCAGGCTGGTATTAACTTTAAAAGTTGTCAGTATGAAATGCTGAAGGCATGTGGAACTGCATTCAAGTGGTTAAATATGGAGTTAATAATGTCCAAATAAGAAAAAGGGTCACAAACCAAGCAACACTAACGACTATACAAACGTGTGGATCATACGGAAATCATCTTAATTCCACTGTATGAAGAGCTTTCATCTGAATGCCCATGGTGTCAGAGGTCTTTGCTCATATCACAATATTCCTGCCATAATATAACTGGAGCTTTCTTCACATTTCAAAATGTGCATATTATTATTATTTGTTTTTTCTGCTTTTGATTTTCATGCTAGGAACAGGAAAATTATAGAAAAAAACTAATAAGGGATGCCTTGGTGGCCTGATTGTAAAGATGTGTACCATATAACCGCTCAATTCCTGCCAGAAATAAATATTTGGGATAAAATAATGTCAAATAAAACAGACCGCCGTCCCCACAAAAATGTATGTGTACTTCATGTCCCAACTTTTAACACTGAGCCATAAGAAAATACAAGTTGTTAATATTAGTTTGGTTGTTGAAATGGACTGTGAACACAGTAAACCTCACTTGAAGACACCATTAGTAAATACTTGTACACAAGTGCAATATTTAGATTTCTGGGGAATTGTACACTTTTTACAACTTAGGCAGAGGGATACCCTTTTTATGCAACAGCTTACACCCTTAGAGAAGGTTAATTTAATTGCTAAATGTCTGTTTAACCTTCTGCAAAGATGGCAGGCTTGCCTAACTTAACTTTGTGTTGTAATTTCTGTATTTGTAAAGATGCTAATTTCACTATTAACTAAACAAGACCATATAAAGGTTTGACCAAATCCTGTTTACATAAACAAACAGTTCGTTTTAGCATGTACAGTCATAGCAGATTAATAAGTATTAATATTTTGGGAACAGTAGTTGCAGATGTCAATAAATGGATCACATATATATGTATTGAGGTATGTTAAGTTAATCGGTGTTTAACATTCTCTCAAACTGCAAAAAAGTAGCCATGACTCTGTATAACTAAGTAGGAAACAGAAGGAAAAACTAAAACATTAACTCCCTCAGTTATTAATCTCAGTAATCGTGCGTGTCTGTGTGTGTTTGCAGTGCCATGAAGCCTGTATAGCGATCTACAGCAGCATGGCGAACCAGAAGCTCTCCCACTGGGTGGTCATCTCTGTGCTCTCCATGTTTTTCTGTTTACTTGTCTACACTCTGACTGGTGAGTTCACCTCTAAAGCGTCGCCCCAAGTGCGTTATGTGCTCACCTGAAAGCTGCTGATCACACCCGCTCTCTCCATCTCCAGGTGTGTATGGATTCCTGACGTTTGGACGAGCAGTTGCCTCAGATATTTTGATGTCATATCCAGGAAATGATGTAGTCATGATCATTTCCAGACTACTTTTCCTAATATCAATTATCACCATCTATCCTATTATTCTTCTTCTGGGGAGGTAGGCGGCACCAGAGTTGACTTTTTTTTGCGTTGTGCGAGTTTATGTTTCATCACCTAACATGGTTTCTCTCTTTGTGCATGGAAAACAGATCTGTCATCCTGAACCTGATGCTGCGTATTCAAAGACGTCGCTGTGGAATCGTCACTCATTCGTTTGAGAGTCGCTGCAGAGTCGTTCTCACTGTGATCTGGATATCCATCACTCTTCTCATCGCCATGTTTGTCCCTGACATGGGTGAGGTCATTAGTGTCATTGGAGGAATCAGCGCCTTCTTCATCTTTATTTTTCCTGGTATGTAAACAACCATTACTTTAATATGTAAATAATAATGTGTAATGGATGGACATGGCTTTATACTTATACATGGTTTGTATTTATAATATATATGGTTTATATCTTATTAGCTTGCCAATCACATGTAAATCACTATGAATTGGACTGACTGGTACGGAAGCTGCGATACAATTTAAGTTTGATTGAGATCCATGCACTCAGTAAGGTAACACTGTCAATGTGGCGTGTGTTTGTGTTGCAGGTCTTTGCTTAGTGTTCATAATGCAAACTGAATCTGTGACACAAAGAGTCAGGTGAGTGTGATCTTACAGAAGACTCATATGTGCACGGAGTTAGGATTTCTTAGAATTTTACAGGTCCATCATTTCTTTAGTATTTCCTAATAATTTTCAAGAAATCTTCCAGGAAGGAATAATTAGAGCAAATTATAAGAAAAATACAGAACATTTTTATTTCCAATTGCTATAACCTGGAGAGTCTTTTAGTCGCTTCACAGTAGGTCATCTTAACAAACAATTTGTTTCCGGGCAAACTTATAATTCATACATACACTACAGTTCAAAAGTTTGGGGTCACCCAGACAATTTCATGTTTTCCATGAAAACTCAAAATGAATAGAAAATATAGTCAAGACATTGACGAGGTTAGAAATACTAATTTTTATTTGAAATAATAATTTTGTCCTTCAAACTTTGCTTTCGTCAAAGAATCCTCCATTTGCAGCAATTACAGCCTTGCAGACCTTTGGCATTCATCAATTTGTTGAGGTAATCTGAAGAAATTTCACCCCACGCTTCCTGAAGCACCTTCCTCAATTTGGATTGGCTTGATGGGCACTTCTTACAGTCAAGCTGCTCCCACAACAGCTCAAAAAGGGTTGAGATCTGGTGATCTGGCCACTCCATTACAGATTTCTGCGTTGTTCTGCATCTCACAAATGTTCTTCTGTGTGATCCAAACACCTCAGACTTAGATTTGTCTATCCATAACACTTTTTTCCAATCTTCTTCTGTCCAATGTCTGTGTTCTTTTGCCCATCTTCATCTTTTCCTTTTATTGGCCAGTCTCAGATATGGCATTTGATGAAGCTGCCAGTTGAGGACCTGTGAGGCATCTATTACTCAAACTGGAGACTCTAATGTACTTGTCCTCTTGCTTAGTGGTGCACCTGGGCCTCCCACTTCTCTTTCTATTCTGGTTAGAACCTGTTTGTGCTGTTCTCTGAAGGGAGTAGTACATAAAAGTAGTATATAAAAACCTGCTGCTCGTCATACAAACATGATAGTGAGTTCACTTCCACGTGTGTATATTTTATGCTAGTTAAGTACCTTGGAAAGTCATTATTAAGTTCAGATTGTATTGCCTCCTAAGAAGGAAAGAACGCGTCTTATTTTGTACACGTGAAATGGCTTGTTTTTAAAGAAATAAAGCAAGGTCTCTATGGGCAGAGCAGATTTGATTTATTATAGCATGTAGATGTTTAAATAAAGGAACTTATGATTAATGATTATTAATTACTGTAGAGCTTTCATACTGTTGCCTAATAGCTTAAAAGCTGTACTGATCTTTCTCTTGATGCACTGATGCTCTTCTCTACAGGGTGATTTTAACAGTTTGGGGAGTCATAACTATTGTAGTTGGAGCCTTCATCTTCGGACAGAGCACGACAATCGCTGTCATGGAGATTTCCCAAAAATTCTGAATTTCACACCATCATCACAACCCTCTGCATTCTGCTGCTTCACTGTGAGCATTTTGTGATGATCAGCTCTTCTGCACAACTGAAAGTTGCATTTCTAAAGGTGGTTTTTAGTTGTATATAAGATTTGTATAAAAGGTCATCCACGACCTGGATATAAAATATAATTACATATTTTTGTTTGTGTGATGCATTAAAATAGAATATTATTTGCAATGTCAAAGAAAAGATTGTGCAAAAAAAATATTTATGTTTGAATATATCTGGTTTGTTATTTTATTTGTTATGAAAATAACATAAATACAATATATAAAACAAATGAGTTGAAAAGTGTTTTGTCTTTGAGTCTACGTTTGTGCTTGCAAATACTACCAGGGGGCAGTATTGCGCCACAGAGGCATTATATATTTATCTGCAGTCACTCATTCATATATGTTTGTGGAACTGCATATTGGCAACATAGATAAGAAAAAAAATGTGTTCTTATCATTGTTATTATGGTCTCAGGGATTCTTTTGACAAGAGAGTGCTCGTTTAAATCAAGTAAGCAAGACAGTATTCAAGGTAATATCCTTGAAATACATGTCTACATCTACCACATGATAATGTGCATGAATAATATTAAGATTTCCCTCTTTTAAGTACATGATTCTTATCCTTCCTCTGCATTTTCCCATTCTCTCTCCCCACTGACCTCCACGTGGCCTGAATCATATGAGTGATGGACTGAGGTATGCTGAATGTCACTATTTATTGTGTATTGACTTCAAGCTTAATGAGTTATGGCACACAGCCTGTGAGAGTGCACATGCTCACACAAGTGTGCTAGTGGACTTGTGAGTAATGATTTACAGTAAATGCAGAAAATGGGTGCGGGATATGTGCCTAGAGGGTTTAAAGGCAGCCTATCAGCCATGCTAACTTCACAGACAAATCTGTCTGACCACACACACAACGAATAAGAACTTCATTCAAAAATAGACCATCTAGAAACAGTGACTTCTAATTGACGCATCGGTTATATAATGGGTTTATTTTCATCTTGTGCGGCGTGAGTGTCCTTAAGAGAAAACCTCAAAATATTATACTCATCTTGCTTTCTGCTGATGGGATTATATTTCAACCTGCTGGTAAAATGACTAAATCCTTTAAATGCAGGGGGAAAAAAATGTGAAACAAACTCCTTGAATCCTGCAGTTACTGTAAGTAAACTGGCTCACATATTTAGAAAGACAACTCTGCTGTCCCGGGACATACAAGTATACAGCTACCAAGAGCTTAGTGCATCTGTTCTCTGTCTGTTTAACCTATTTCAGACGTTTCTGCCTCCAAAAATGAAAGAATGTCCTTCTTATCTCAGTTATGATTTCACAACAGCCATTGTTTTGTTTCACACAAACAAAAATAAGAATCTGCAGCCATGCTGATGTCAGCTTACGTTTAGCAAATATAATAGAATTTACTCATTATCCTGCTCGCATTTGCTAACTAAACACAAAAATGAGGCTGATGTGAACAATGCCATTAGTTTTACAAGTACTTGATCACACAGCGAAGAATAGAAGAAAACAAACTTGACCTGATGATGGCGCTATGGGCAAAGTTAAGTGATCTCCAAAGTCAGTAGGATTCATCTTCTAGGGACCATGAATGTCTGTACAAAATTTCACAGCAGTCCATTTAATAATTGTTTAGATATTTTTGTTTGAGTTTATTTCAGTCTGGACCAAAGTGGTGGACCAGCCCACCGACCAAGATTACCATCCCTGGGGCCATTCCACTAGTGTGGCTAAAAATCATCCATTATTCTCTGCATTATTATTATTATCTTTTAATTTTCCTCAGCCTCTGAAAAATAATTTCCAGTCCTTGTTATTATGCTGTCCCCTGTAGCTACTTTGTTATTGAAAGATTGCTTGTAATGTAGGCTTCTTGCATTCCTAATTAATAAAATGGCAATTTGTGGCAACATCCCTTTCAGTTAATTGTCCCTGATAAGAGCATCAGAAAACTCCCTGAATTCAAACAAATGGTTGCGTGTTATTTCTTTTGCTGTGTGTGTGTGTGTGTGGTTTCCATCACTGCCACTGTCACAATGATTGAAATCTGCATACCTTTTGTGTTCAGAATTGGTGAAAAAAGCTATTTTGCTGGTATTTAATTTGCAGATTAATGGCTTCATGTCTTTTTCCATACCAAATAGGAAGAGGGGTGTTGCTATAGCACTGTTATTGCTTTGTGGGTCTAACAGTGTACTGTCTGTATGACATGGTTGTGTGCATGTATGACCTTGTTTTCTATGCATCAAGGTTATGACCACCATGCTGAGATCATCATGATGGAGATAACATGCGTCCATCACTTTGCTGCCCAGGCCTTTATTAAAATGATGACAGGAGATCTCTGGGCTGAACTCTACGGGATAATCGCTGCAGTAGCAATGAGCTGGGGTGAAGGAGAGGCCTCTGTCTCACTGTGTGAGAGCACCAGATCAGGCTAACTTTAAATCCTATCTGTGATACTAAAAGAGCACTAATGTTTTTCCTGGCTACAACAGTCTTTAAATGTTGTAACATGACAAAAGAAGACTTTAATTTGCATGCTGACAAAAACTTATTTTCATAGCTTATATCTACTTTAAACAATGCATTTATTAATTAACAAGTTTAGTTCAGCTGAAGTTTGGCATATTTTAGTGAAACGTAACTTGTGAGGATCTTTTACATTTCACACCCTCTGACAGATTTCTTTAGTATTACTTTTGAAAACATAATTTCTCAAACCAAAGTGGGAAAGTCACACAAACAGTGAGACTGTATTTATTAAAGTTGAAACCGAACATAAGAGGAGGGCTGTCAGATCTACAACGCCACAGAAACGTGACTAATTTCATTTACTTGTTAGATATAGTGTATGTGCGGATAGACAAAGAAACAAACTATCATTGCATTCATACATGAGATTATGAATAACAACGAAGAATAGAAAACAGCAGTAAGTCTACGTAATACATTTAATTTCACTGTCATGTGGAAATGGGCTTCAATTTGATTGTATCAGGTGAAGTATTGTATTGTATTTTATTTTATTTCATTGCATTTTGTGTATTGGGACCATGTCTTTTGGTGATTTTGCACTTTATATAAAACTTGATTGATTGATTGACTGATTGAAGTAAAGGTAGACTAAATTTGATTCTGCTAACAAGTGAGGATTCAACATAATTTGTAGTGTAGTTAAGTAGACAGCACATAAAACTGACAATGCTAGCATGCTGATTTTGAGCAGTCAGCATGCTGCTTTTAGCTGAAGTTTAACAGTTTGCTAATGACTCATAATTGTATCCTTAGATTAGGATAGTATCTCATTTTGAGAAGCTTTTGAGGAATCGATACAATTGATGTAATATAACTGCATGTAAGACTCGTAGGTAGCTGTGAGAGATCAGTTATGTTTTTCAATAACTGTGCTACAAATGATTGTGAATGTTTTAGGAGTTCAGCGTAGCACCAGCGTGATTCCCTTACCTCTATTCTTTTTTGTCTGCCTTTCCCATGTCTCTCTCATTGGCTACTGCCTCTTCATGCTCCTATCTCTGCCTCCAATCTCGTTCTGACCAGCATTTAAAAAAATATAGTACCCACACAATCTTGTTCAATAGCATAATTTTTGGGAACAATTCTCACAAAAGAAACACCACTCCACCCTTAGACTTGATGAGACGTTGTGAGCTACAACAAACACGAGTGATGAAAGGGTCGACAACCTGCTGTTTAATGGTGTGGCAGCAAAACGTTTTAAATGACAATAAGGCACACATGTGTCCATTTAACAAGTTAAACCATCTCTTGGCATTATAAAGTATGATGTACAACAACTCTGAAACACTTTTTTTTTCGTGCACAACCAGTGAAAACTTAAAGTAGGCTAAAAGTTGCAAGCTAGTTGGTAAACAATTTAGCCTACTGCAATGAACACCACAACTTAACAGGAACTGTTAAGAGATGTGGCAATTTCTGCCAAAAATCGATGGAAAGCTGCACAACTACACTTTTCCTGAGCTTCTTTTTCAGGTCTGGATCAATTTTCTGTTCTGATCTCAATAAGTCTGGCCAAATTACTGAGTAGGCACCATCAGAGGCCCATTTTTATGATGCCATTAATTCACGCAAAGTATTTTACAGTATTTTTAAACTACAAAATACAAAGGTATACGTACAAACTATGAAGCCATTTTCATCAACCCTATCAAATACAAAATACAAAATCCCATTTTGTATTTGAAATAAGCTACGTATTTTAAAATACATGTCATAAATACTGCCCATCCCTGTCTGTATGTACAAAATGCAATTTTGGTTTGCAATAAATGTCTAGTTATCTAAACTCAGTCTGAAGGGCACGTCTGTGTTATAGTTTGTCTTGACACTGACAGCTATTGTTTCAGCCTACAGGACACTTTATAGGATGGCAGAGTCACACAGTTGGTTTGTTATTTGAGACCTGAGTGAGCTGAATGCTGGAGGGAATTTGAGAGTGGCTGCCCTTTAGGAATAATATACCACATAGAGTATGAATGTCTCTCTTCCCATTTGTAGTGCACATTTAATTTTTTTCAATGTCGCACATGACCTTTAAATCTCTTTAATATCAATTGTGATATATACAGTTTGCTGTTGCCTTTGAATTTGAATACTGTAAACGCAGAGCTTTCCTTTCTCCTTAAAGGGCCTGTTTTTATTTTTATTTTTCATGACTCTACACACCTTCAAAATAAAAATCCTTCATTCCATGTTTCAACCAATTCATTGTTACAAACCATTTTACCAAAGTAATCTTAAAGTCAGCTCTCATTCTGTCAATTCTGTGAGCGATTATTATTTTTATTACGTTATGATTGAAAGGGTTAGTCATATCTTCAGGTTCTCAGTATTTTTCAGAAAGTGTTTTCTTTCTCCCTTGTTTAACTCCCCACCAATTCAAATGACCTCTAGTTGATACAGACCTGTAACAGACACATTTACAGACACTCCAGCAACAACTGACCAGTACTGTTGCTTAGAATTTGTTCAAGTAGCATGATGTTACAAATCTACTTGCATGTGCTTGTAAGGATCACTTATTAGCTAATTTTGAGAACAAACAGATTTTTTAGGCCATTCAAATGA